TAAATTAAAAATTAATTCGGTTAAAAGATAAATAATAAAAAAGTATTTGAAATGATTATGATACCTACCTCTTTCATGCATTCATGAAGGAATCAGTCTAAATTTACAGGGTAGCTCCAATTAAATTAAAAATTAATTCGTTTAAAAGATAAATAATAAAAAAGTATTTGAAATGATTTCATCGATAGTGTATCTATATGATAAATTGATGGAAAAAAAAAGAAAAAAAAGCAAAACAATGCTATGAGAAGTGAAAAAAAGATTAAATTCTCTTTTCTTGTCTCTTTTGCAAGAAAAAACATATCAAATCATTAGATACTTTTAAAAATGAAATCACTTACATTCATAGAGTTTTGTACAACAATGCTAAGTTCTTTTATATCGGTAAAATTACCAGCATGTAATGTACCAAATTGTATTAATTGATCTGTATCAAACCTAAATGATATAAAATGCTTTCAATTAATCCTTAAATTTTGTTTCCTTAAATCAATCAATTTTGCGATCATTAATCAATCAATCTTCAGAGTATCACAAAGAATCAGATGAAAATCATCCCTTTCCATAAACCAATCAATTTTGGAACAAAAAAAAAAAAAGACTTTCAGATTGAAATTAAAATTTACAACATCAGAATAAGAAGCAAATAATTTGTTATATAGATGTTTGTTTCTCAAACTTCTAATTTGTGTATCATATCAAATAATTTCATTATAAATATTACTTAGAAATGTAATAAATAAAAGTACTGACAGCTCGAAAAGCTGGTGATTCATTCATTACTTTAGCTACTTTTGCAAATGGAGCATTACTGGTACGATGCACTATTGGAATGTCATCAGTTGTATGTTCTTTGAAAATTTTTACATGATATATAAATTAAATAAAAGAGAAATCAGAAAGAAAAAGAGTTGTGAATGTAGATATTACTTTGCAAATTACGCATATGATAATTTCATTATAAATATTACTTATAAGTATTACTCATTACAAAAATATTACCTGCATGTTGTTGTGCAGAGAAAGAAAAAAAACTTATTTACAAAAATCTGTTTAGTTGTAGATGTAGATATTACTTTCACCAATTAATATGATAATTTCATTATAAATATTACTTATAAGTATTACTCATTACAAAAATATTATCTGCATGTTGTTGTGCAGAAAAGCAAAAAAAACTTATTTACAAAAATCTGTTTAGCGTTGTAGATGTAGATATTACTTTGCAAATTAGCAATATGATAATTTCATTATAAATATTACTTATAAGTATTACTCATTACAAAAATATTACCTGCATGTTGTTGTGCAGAAAGAAAAAAAAAACTTATTTACAAAAATCTGTTTAGTTGTAGATGTAGATATTACTTTGCAAATTAGCAATATGATAATTTCATTATAAATATTACTTATAAGTATTACTCATTACAAAAATATTACCTGCATGTTGTTGTGTGTAGAAGAAAAAAAACTTATTTACAAAAATCTGTTTAGTTGTAGATGTAGATATTACTTTGCAAATTAGCAATATGATAATTTCATTATAAATATTACTTATAAGTATTACTCATTACCTGCAATACATATTTCATTATAAATATTACTTATAAGTATTTACTCATTACAAATATTACCTGCATGTTGTTGTGCAGAAAAAGCAAAAAAAAAAAAGCATTACAAAATCTGTTTAGTTGTAGATGTAGATATTACTTTGCAAATTAGCAATATGATAATTTCATTATAAATATTACTTATAAGTATTACTCATTACAAAATATTACCTGCATGTTGTGTAGAAAAGAAAAAAACTTATTTACAAAAATCTGTTTAGTTGTAGATGTAGATATTACTTTGCAAATTAGCAATATGATAATTTCATTATAAATATTACTTAAAGTATTACTCATTACCTGTACATATTTCATTATAAATATTACTTATAAGTATTACTTATGCAAAAATATTACCTGCATGTTGTTGTGCAGAAAGAAAAAAAAAACTTTTACAAAAATCTGTTTAGTTGTAGATGTAGATATTACTTTGCAAATTAGCAATATGATAATTTCATTATAAATATTACTTATAAGTATTACTCATTACCTGCATGTTGTTGTGCAATCTCGTTTTTGTTGATGTAAAATAAGCATAGCTTTTTCAATTTCAGCAGTTAATTTTTGACGATCATTTTGCGCACATATAATAGCACATCGTGCTTGTCTTACTGCATATACATCAACAGATGTAATCGGAAAACCTTCCTTATCCACTAAACTTTGCTTCATATCGATATTATTCTGCAAAATTAGTTAATTAATTTTCAAAAAAAAAAAGAAAAATTAAACGAAAAAATTTTTCTCAAACATTATCCTAGGAAACATAATATATTATTTTCTTAAATTTACTTTTAATATAAATTTAAAATTATAATTCATCAAGTTATGTAATATTTTAAAAGCAAAAAAAAAAAAGGAATGATTAAATTTGATATGAAAAAAGTATGTGTATAATTCAGATCAAGAGAAAGAGAGAGAGAGAGAGAGACAGAAAGGGAGAGAATATATTAATTAACTTAATAATCATTTATTCTTATTATTTTTATACAATCAAATGTTATTTTAGCATAACTGTGCAAAAAAAAGAGAGAAAATATATTAATTAACTTAATAATCATTTATTCTTATTATTTTTATACAATCAAATGTTATTTTAGCATAACTGTGCAAAAAAAGAGAGAAAATATATTAATTAACTTAATAATCATTTATTCTTATTATTTTTATACAATCAAATGTTATTTTAGCATAACTGTGCAAAAAAATAGAGAAAATATATTAATTAACTTAATAATCATTTATTATTATTTTTTATACAATCAAATGTTATTTTAGCATAACTGTGCAAAAAATAGAGAGAAAATATATTAATTAACTTAATAATCATTTATTCTTATTATTTTTTATACAATCAAATGTTATTTTAGCATAACTGTGAAAAAAAAATAAATATAAAAATAAAGTAAAAAAAAAGGAAAGAAAGCTAACTATTTTAAGAATTTCTTCTTCTTTAGCAATTCGTTGATCAATTTCATCTCGTGCTGCTATAAGTTTTTTCACCAAATCCATTGTGATCTTTTCTTTATCATTCTCTTTCTTGATTCCATTTTATCTCTCAATATTATCAAATTTCAATCGTTATCTCTCTTATATACTTCTATCGAAAATTGAAAATCACAATCTCAAAAAAAAATGCTTTACTACTTGATCTCTTGATCAAATGAACAATTGCTTATCTTTCACATTTTATCAAATGCTTTGTTCATTCAATCATGCAAGCATGCATGCATGAATGCATGCGTGCTTGCAACATATACAATAAAGAATTATGCTCATTCCTTTATCTTCCAAGGATATATATATATATTTTCAGGAGAATACCCAATAAGCTTTGTACAAAATTATAAAAAAAACAATTTTCTCTTTCATTTATTTAAACAAAAAAAAGAAAACCTCAATTATCATTTTAATAAAATGCTTATTTGTATTAAATAAATCATTTGTCTATATTTATTTTAATGTTCACTTAACATATTTACATATTTTAGTGATAATTTATAATACTTACTTTATTAATCGCTTATTTATTAAGTCTCTTAATACTACTACTACTACTACTGTAAGATGAATAAAAATCCCTTTTCACAACAAATTGAAATTATTGTCAATCGGAAGTAATAATATCAAATTATACTTCATCACAACCAAACAATGCTAATTTTTGATTAATGGAACATTTAAGCCATTTTAAAAATTATTTTTTGCCTTTTCTTCGACAGTATTTGATTGACCAATGCTGCAAGGATAGGTAAAATAGACACTAAATGTTATGCACAAAGATTGTAGCATCAATGTCACATCTTTTTTTTGAATTAAAAAAAAAAAAAAAATAGTAAATGGTTGACAAGATAGGTGTTAAGTGAAATAACAATTAAGTAAACTATTTAGTTAATAGCAATTAAATAAACTTTTAAATTTTTCACTTATCCATTTACATTACTATCATTTGATCTGTACAATAACACAGATTTTTTTTTTCTTTTTCTTTTTTTTTATTCAGAATAAAATGTCGAGATCCAAAACAAATTCACAAATCAGCTGAGGCAATTCACATAATAACGTAAATAGTTCACAAATTAGCTGGTAACATATATTGGAAATTTATAATTGACCTACTTTCTTTCGCTTAGAATTTCTTATTTTTTTTTTCTTTTTTTCAAGAACATCCTTGTTTAATTCATTTTGAAATTGTTTATTGCCTAAGCTCATGGTTATGACCTGGAATACAGTAACATTAAATTATCTGTCAATTACCAAACTAATCATAACACACAGTCAACTCATCATTTCTTTATGATCAACATTACAAACTACAATCAAATTCAATAATGTATATCCAATGCAGATAATATTTTGAACCAAAATTCTTTTTATCTCTTCCTTATTTTACGCAATCTTTTTCTTATCATTTAAATGCCTCTTTCTTTCACATGTAATTTACGTTTAATAAATTATTCCTTACAAAAATAAGGAAGAGCTAAAATTACGGAAAAAAAAAAATAAATCTCCCAAAAGAAATATTTATTTTTTTTCAGGAAACTTTAATAATTTACCCATTTATTTATGAATAATAAAACTACATTGTATTCTTTCGTCCATAACATAAATCGAAATCTTTTGCAGCATACTGAAGATATTCCCCATTCGCTTTTTAATAAATGAATATTGTCCAAAATAATTTAAATGAACGGCGCAATAAACAAAATAGTATTTGTGAGACATTGAATTCGTGTATTATTAACTGAAACAATTTAAATGTACTGCTCACTCCATTCATTTAAGCAATTATATGCTGATAAGGCATGATTGCTGCTTACTCCGGCTACTTCCTGCAATGAAAAAGAATATTAAACAGTGCAATCAAATTATTTATACAAATTCAATTCATCCAAATGCACCACCGAAAACATTAATAAACTTACCTTTAACCAATCAACAAAAAGTTCTTTCTCTTTCTTCAAAAGGAGAAATTGTCCAAATAGAACATAAGCCTGCAAAAAAAAAACAAAAAAACAAATGCATCATCCCTTTTAAAAAGAGAAAACATTTCAAAACCTAAAAACGTTCAATATCAATCATATCATAGAACTACAACTAAAAATAAAAATGAATTGCGGTGCACTGGAAGTATATTTCATGAATATATATATATATCGTTAAGTGATTTAAAGAGAAATTGTATAGTAGAATGATTAAAATGATTCATTTCTACACCAAAACATGAGTTAAAATATAATAACGTTCGAATATTTTACACTCGTCAAATTTGAACTTTAAACTTAAGTAATGCTTTTGTATTTCGTTAAAAGTTGATCAATTCATAAATATGCTACTGAATGATTCAGTGAACTATTAAACAACAAATTATAAATTTTCCGACATGTAATAAAAACAAAAAAATAAGATTGCAAAAGAGAAGGTAATTAAATAATAAACAATGATATTAAATGATTAAATGATAGATAAATAATATGATAAAAGAATTAAGCATTATAAATGTTTTACATATATAATTAAAGAGCAAATTACCTTATCAAAACCAGCCTTACTTAATTTTTCACCATATGTAGGTCCAATACCAGCAACAGCAGTTACTTCTTTCTCTCCCATTGGTTCAGAAACAAATTCACGATGTTTCACAGATGTACTAGTCATTGTGATCAAATCAATAAATAAATTTTTCCTGCAAATATTATAATAATCCTTGTAATTTTTTTTCTTTTCTTATAAATATTACAATAATTTAATTCATGTAATGAATATATTTATCAAATATAAATTCAATATGTAAATATATAAATGTAAATAATTCAATAACAAAATTATCAGTAATTCATATATATAATTTAGTACCATAGCCATAAACGATCTTTTACTACTTGTACTATTTATTCATTGATCAAATAATTACTGAAACTTAATATGATAATACTTAATAAATAACCAAACTAAGAACAACCTAAAAAAATAATAAATTGACCAAATTTAAAGATTGAACTAACTTAAAACTGATCAAAACTAAATACTTAAATAAATTGATCCAAACTAAAACTTAATAAACTTTAAATCAAAACTTAAATAACCCAATAATTGACCAAAACTAAAAAACTAAGCTAAATAATAAACTGATCAAAACTAAAACTTAATAAACTAATACTCAATAAATTGATCAAAATTAAAATTTAATAATCTAACACTTAATAAACTGATCCAAAATTAAAAATAATAATACTCAATAAATTGATCAAATTATTTAATAAATAACACTTAATAAACTGATCAAAATTAAAACTTAATAAACTAATACTCAATAAATTGATCAAAATTAAAATTTAATAATCTAAAACTTAATAAACTGATCAAAACTAAAACTTAATAAACTGATCTCAATAATTGACCAAATTTAAATTTAATAATCTAAAACTTAATAAACTGATCAAAACTAAAACTTAATAAACTAATACTCAATAAATTGATCAAAATTAAAATTTAATAATCAAAAACTTAATAAACTGATCAAAACTAAAACTTAATGAACTAATACTCAATAAATTGATCAAAATTAAAATTTAATAACCTAAAACTTAATAACTGATCAAAACTTAAACCCTAAAATAGCACAGCACCACTAGACAGCATAACTTCACCCACCGCTAACATTTCCCACTTCTGCCATCTGCGCCTCTCTGCTACCCACCCAGCAACACCAAATAAACGCACCCTTACACCAATGATGACTCATCATACAATCATCTCAATCAACACCTATTTTTTTCACTCTAATTATAATTCCTTTCACATCTTGCTACAACACTTCGCCATACTCTATCAATCATTTTCCACATCTTATCATACATTATATTCAATTAATCTTATCACTCTCTGCCATCTCCTGAGTCTACCATGATATTTCTTATTTCCTCTCATTTCTTCATCAGAATACACACTCTCCCTCATTTCCTCACTATTTTCAGTCTTTTTTAGCATTCCTTTACCCACTCAATCGAAAAACAATCGCTATCTAATTGTAGTTTCAGTCTCTTTGTCTCACCTCTCCTACCGTTCTCCCTCTCTCTCTCCCTCTCCCACTCCCTCTCTCTCTCTCTCTCTTTCTCATTCAGAAAATAAAAATCTTAGAAATTTGAGTTTATTGTCGCATCAAATTAATTCTGAAATATTTTGTAAAGAAATTAACATTATTATTATACAAGAAGTGCTATATAAATATTAATTAAATTTTGTTCAATTTTCAAGTTGAAATTTTCTGATATCAAATATGAGTGGTTTTTATATTATTAGTTTAATAATATTAGAGAAATCGCAATTATTAGAGAGAGAGAGAGAGTTATGCTTGTAAAGTTTTTTTTTTTTTTCTTACATAATTTTAGATAATAATTGAAATGATAAAATGAATAATGAAATTTTTACTAAAAAAATTAATTTATATGTTAGATAATATTGAGTAAAAATTATATCCTTTAAATCATTTTTTTTTTTTGTTGTAAAATTGAACAACTAATCATTTGAATAATTAAGAACAATGTAGTAAAATTGTAAATTGGAAGTTTTTTTTTTTTTTTTTTTAAATTTGAATTTTCACTAATCTCATAAAATATATTTATGATAACAGTGTAGTGGAAAATGTTATATATAGATGGTAAATATATTTGCAGCAGAAATATTAGGTAGAATAGGTTTGCATCATCATTTTGAAATCATGTGATAAATAAATTAATTAATTAATTAATCAATCACTTATGCTTACTTGTATGAGTAATATTACATCTCTGTGTTCATCAATAAATTTTCTTTAAATAAATTTTTTTTTTCGTGTTTTTTTTTTTTTCGTGCTCTAATAAATTTTCTTTCGTGCTCTATGATATTCTCAAAATGTATTTCGATTTGATTTGATGTATTTTGTATGAAAAATAATCTTTTTTAAAGTATTATATTATCAGTGTAATAAAATTGAATAGATTACTACATGTTAACCTAAATTTGTGTTCAAATTCAAGGACATTATAGAGCAGACGATAGAGACGATTTTTCTTTTGCAGTAATAACGATATTGATGAAGTCGAATGGAAAAATACGAACATCTGATTGGTGGCTTCACCGGTGGTATAATAAGCACTATTGCATGTCATCCGTTAGATCTTCTCAGAATACGATATTCCGGTTAGTTAATAGTTAATACTTTTTTTAAAAATACGAACATCTGATTGGTGGCTTCACCGGTGGTATAATAAGCACTATTGCATGTCATCCATTAGATCTTCTCAGAATACGATATTCCGGTTAGTTAATAGTTAATACTTTTTTTAAAAATACGAACATCTGATTGGTGGCTTCACCGGTGGTATAATAAGCACTATTGCATGTCATCCGTTAGATCTTCTCAGAATACGATATTCCGGTTAGTTAATAGTTAATACTTTTTTTAAAAATATGAACATCTGATTGGTGGCTTCACCGGTGGTATAATAAGCACTATTGCATGTCATCCGTTAGATCTTCTCAGAATACGATATTCCGGTTAGTTAATAGTTAATACTTTTTTTAAAAATATGAACATCTGATTGGTGGTTTCACCGGTGGTATAATAGGCACTATTGCATGTCATCCATTAGATCTTCTTAGAATACGATATTCCGGTTAGTTAATAGTTAATACTTTTTTAAAAATATGAATATCTGATTGGTGGCTTCACCGGTGGTATAATAAGCACTATTGCATGTCATCCATTAGATCTTCTCAGAATACGATATTCCGGTTAGTTAATAGTTAATACTTTTTTAAAAAATCGAACATCTGATTGGTGGCTTCACCGGTGTATAATAGCACTATTGCATGTCATCTTAATTTCTCAGAATACGATATTCAGTTATTAATAGTTAATACTTTTTTTTTTTTTTTAAAAATGATTAAACATGTAATTCATTGAGTATTTTTTTTTTTTCTTCATTGAATCTGTTACAAATCATAATGTAAATCAAGATTATTCTCCATTCATTTTATTTTCTTTTTATCATTTTATTTTATTCTTAATATATTTGTTTTTTTTTATTTGAATAAATTCATTATACATACATTCTAATTGTAGTATATATTATATTAGTTCAGCAAATCATCTAATTCTCGAGTATTTGTATTAGTTCAGCAATCATCTAATTCTTGTATTTGTATTAGTTCAGCAAATCATCTAATTCTCGAGTATTTGTATTAGTTCAGCAAATCATCTAATTCTCGAATATTTGAAGTAATAGTGAAATTTTAATGCATTATCACTGTATCATGAATGTTTTCTTTTGTGTGCTATTGTGGTACATTTCATTTGCATATGCATTGTTTCAAATGTGATGAATGTAAGGAGTTCTAGCTATACTTCATGATGTAATCTCAAATTTGACAACTTGAAAATATATATGAGTGCAAATATACAAGTGCTGTTTTACTTAGAGTGCTTAAAATATACGCATGAAAGTTTTGAATTTTATACATCAAGTTTTATTATACAATAATCTATTGTATAGGATCAGTAACATAATTGAGTATTTTAAGGTAGATTTTAGAGTATCAAAATCTGATTCTTCCGCTCTTGTTTTTGAAAAATTTAGCAAATTTTTTTTTAGCAATCGGAAGAACTTATAAAATCTACATGTTAAGCATACATCCTAAGATTGGTATTAGCAACAATTTTATTACATATTTCATTGTTTTATGATATCTGATAGATTATCATTGCAGCTAATGATGGTAATCGTCAACGTCCACAATATCGTAATTATTGGCATGCAGCGCGGAGTATTATACAATCTAAAGGATATAAAGGTTTGTATCAAGGTCTATCACCGAATTTGGTTGGATCCGCTGTATCTTGGGGACTTTATTTTCAGTTGTAAGTTTAATTCTTGTTGAAATGCTTTTTTTAAACTGATATGATCTTAACAGCATTCATGTTTTTCGTTATGCTCAGGTATTCGCTGAAAAAATTTAAATTTAGGAATGGTATTATGTTAATGCAACAAACTATGATTTTCATTAGCATTTGAAATGTTCCAAGATTGCTTATAATTAATAAAGATCACATTTCATGTCTTGCACCTTTATGATTAAGTTTTAGGTAATATTAAATTGATTAAGGTAAATTAGCAGTTGTAGTTTTATTTGTTGAACGTTGCGAAAAATATCCAGAATTATACTTTTTGATATTGCAATAAATTTTAGGGATATAGAATGTTATCCATTAAATCCGAATTAAAGTTCCATTAGTCTTCTTTTTTTTTAGTATAATTAAATTGTTTTATTATAGCTATCATATTATCAAAAGATTATGCGTTGAGAAAACTATTTCAACCGGAGCAGAACCGGTGGATAATGTCCTGATGGGAATGGTTACTGGAGCTGGTATTTTACTGTTCACTAATCCCATTTGGATGGCAAAAACTCGATTATGCTTACAATATGAAAATGAAAGAATCAGATATCGAGGACTTTTGGACTGTATTTCTACAGTTGCTCGTAATGAAGGAATTACTGCGTTATACAGAGTTTGTCCTTTTTTCACTCTTTTTCTTTTTATTATTTGTTTAAATGTTTTAAATTTTTTCATCACAATTCATGACCAAAAGAAAATGCTTATTAAAAAAGGCTGAGAAAAAATAATTTAAACCAATAGGTATAAAGATTTAAATTTTTATTTAAATCTTGGAGGAAAAATTTTTAACGTTTATGAGGATATAACTTTCTATTCTGATAATTTTGTTAGCAGAATGTTGAGGATAAAGGAATGATTAGAAAAAAAAAAATTTCATTTGATTGTGATTCGTTGCTTTATTTAAGCATTTTTGGCCAAATTAGTAAGGCTTCCTGAAATTTAATGCCATAGAGTAAGTAAGTTATGAGGATATGATTTTCTATTCTGATAATTTTTGTTAGCAGAATGTTGAAGATAAAGGAATGATTAGAAAAAAAAAAAAGAATTTCATTTGATTGTGATTCGTTGCTTTATTTAAGCATTTTTTAGGCCAAATTAGTAAGGCTTCCTGTAGGGATGATACCATAGAGTAAGTAAGGTGTTCAGGTAATGATATGGATAACTTGTTGGATAGTAGCACATTACGGATTAACTGAAGAAATAAATATTTTATGAAAGTTATGGGGAATTTTTGTAGTGAATTTTAGTTGTCAAATGATTGATAACGCATATTTCTGTAGTAGGATATTTCCTTTCATCCTTTATATCAATTGCATTGGCTTATTTTTAAAGTATTTTAGGGTTTTACACCAGGAGTTATTGGAACCATACATGGTGCAATCCAGTTTATGCTTTACAATCGTTTCAAGGACAATCGATTAAAACGTTTAGATCTACCTGCTAATCATATTTTGGTTTGTTTTCATATATTTCTTCTATGTAACAAATTCTTAATACGATTCTCAATCGCTTTCTGATCGATTCCAAATTCTAAACCTATTTAATAAATGTTTACAGCAGTTTTGGACCTATAGCAAAGATGGTGCCAATAATTTGGTCGTTTATTGTTAATAGTAGTTATTGCAAAGGAATTATAATGCATTTGGAGTATTCAATTTGCATGGGGAATTAAGAAATTTTGTTTTTTTTTTCAGAGTACTGTTGATTGCTTGGTATATTCAGCTGTATCCAAAGTAATTTCTACAACAATAACATTCCCGTACCAAGTGCTACGAACTCGATTACAGGTAAATATTAGTAATAATTTTTAATTATTATAAGTAAATGAAAGTTCAAAGTATGTTAAGGTTAGTTTTTGTTATTTATTTTTTTTTTTTTCATATTTATTTTTATAATATAGAAACAGTTTTATATTTATAGGATCATCATGCACAATATAATGGAATATATGATTTGATAAGCAAAACATATAGAATGGAAGGTGTACGTGGATTTTATAAAGGTTTACTCATGGGCAACTTACGTCAGCTACCAAACGTTATTGTTACATATGTAACCTATGAGAATGTAAGGTATCTTGTTCGTCATCTTTCTCAGTGAAGTTCTTATATGTGCAATTACTTTGATCTAACTACCTCATGATGTTTCTTCCATTAATTTATTTATTTATTTATTTAATTGTACGATATTTATTAATCCTTCATATGATATTACTTATAATGTGTTGTTTTCGTAGACAGTGATAGAAGAGAACAAAAATGCAACAAAATTTTTTCATGATGGATTAAAAATTTATCTGAAATTTTTCAAAATAAATGAATAAAGCTAATTTTAACTAATTCAAGTGAATAAAGCTAATTTTAACTAAACTACACCACAAGCATTATTTTTCCTGAGTACAGTTTTTCTTTCTTTTTTTTTTTTTTTTTTATCAAAATAAAATGGCTTTAGTGGTATAAATTTTGCTAAAAAGCTTTTATAAACGATTATCGAAATCATAAAGAGAAATTTCAACAAATTTATTCAAAGGATTTGGATGTTAAATGTCATTAAGGATATTTCCGATCAAACAGTTATAATCATTCATTCTTATATAACTAAAATTAGTTAAGTAGTTAAGCAGGAAAAAACTTTTTTGTAATTTGACTTATAAATTATTAACACTTCTAAATGCTTCATATCATACCTTTTTTTTTTTTTTAGATATCAATTCAATTTAAGAAAATAATATTTGGAAAAAATGGCTTAAATTGATTAAACAGATTGCTTCTCAACTTTTATTTGCAATGATTTATAGAAATCTTTAAATAGCATTTATTTAAAAATTATAAATGCATATAAATTAATGAGCAAAATTTATAATGATAATGATGCTGTTGTTTGTGTCCATTTTGCTATAAACTGTAATACATCGCTTATATTTTCAGTTGATTTTGTCTTTTGTGCCATAATGAAACAACTCCATGTATCACGATCGGCTACTCTACCAGATGATCCAAATTCTTTAACATTTCCATATGTTGGATAACCTTTAATAAATTTTAAAAAATATTTTATCATTATCAAAAAAAAAAAAAAAAAGGAGAAATTTTTCCATATGTAAAAAATTTAATTTTATCAAGTAGTGATTATAACATATATAAATAATATTTTGTTAAAGAAAAAAAAAAATGTTTTTATTGTTAAAATAAAATAAACAAAAAAAAAAAAACCTGAAATAAGACATGCTGGATGAGATATACCATTTGCATCAAATAAGCTTACTTCAAAATTACCATCATTATCATAGGGTAAATTTCGTTCTATACTTTGCTCCATCGAAATTGCTAACACCCATTCTTTTACTTCTTCATATTCATCATCCTCAAATTATATGCTATATACTTTTTAGAGAATTCTAGAAATGAAAAGTTAAAAATTTAATAATTTTATTTTTCAATAACAAAAAAAAAAGAAAAATATGAGAATTAATAGAGCTAAAAAAAGAAAAATAGAATAACAATTATTTATTTTGCTAAACAAAAAAAAAAAAAATGCTTTTATTATTAAAATAAAATTAACTCTATTAATTCTCTAAAAAAAAAAAGTAAAAAAAAAATAAAATTGGTATGAAATACACTTTACAGATGTATATTTTGTTGCAGGAAGTAATATTTGTTGTGGTATATCAGTGCCATCAAAAATGGAGCAATCAATAGCTGATGGATTTTGATCATCAATTGCATCACATAAATCAAGATAATGATTTAAAAGTATAAATGCTAAGCGTTCTTTTGTGGTACCCAATTTCTATGATAAAAAATTAATATAAATTTTTTTTTTTTTTTTAATTTATAAATTTGCTATTTTTGTTTAAAATATAATCAAAATTAATTAGACATATTTTTTTTTTTTTTTTTATAATCATTGAAATATTTATTTGTTTTTATCGGGATTAGTACGAAAGGAAAGTTATATTTTTGAATTTGATAATAAAAAAAAAATTAAAATGAAATAAAAATTTAACATCATTATTAACAATAGTATTAAAATTAGGAATATATTCACAATTAATTTAGCTAATTTAATTATATTCTTTTTTTAATTTATAAATTTGCTATTTTTGTTTAAAATATAATCAAAATTAATTAGACATATTTTTTTTTTAGTAAAATCATTGAAAAAATTTATATTTTTGAATTTGATAATAAAAAAAAAATTAAAATGAAATAAATCAATTAATTTAGCTAATTTAATTATATTCAAACTTATTGTTGATTGATTTAAAGATTGTTAAGTTCTTTCTTTTTTTTTTCGTAGAAAGAAATTATAGTAAAGTTTATTATTTAAATATCTTAAATAATTAAAAAAATAAAATAAAGATATTATGTTTGAATTAAATTAGAAATAAATGATTAAAAAATTAGACAAACTCTGCATGCCATCCCAGCTTCATAAAAAACTTTATCAGCTTGCATAATATCACTATAACGAATAAAGCTTATCGTAATTTGAGCTACGATACGTTCTATCTCTGTTCCAGTATATTCGAGAATAGCTGAACGTAATGCACCATAATGAGCAATCTCCAAATATCTATTAAATAACTGAAATATTGAAAATTATTCGATAATAAAATTACTTATTATTTATTCTATAATTATTATTCTCTTATCATCACCTGAATATAAGTAAGATAATCCCAAGAACTTTATTTTAATTATTCGCTTATCATCCTAAGATATTACTTTAATTATTCTCTTATCATTTCCTGGATATAAGTAAGATAATCCCAAGAACTTTATTTTAATTATTCGCTTATCATCCTAAGATATTACTTAATTTCTATTATCATCTCCTGGATATAAGTAAGATAATCTAAGAACTTTATTTTAATTATCTTATCATCCAAGATATTACAATTATCTCTCCTGGATATAAGTAAGATAATCCCAAGAACTTTATTTTAATTATTCGCTTATCATCCTAAGATATTACTTTAATTATTCTATTATCATCTCCTGGATATAAGTAAGATAATCCCAAGAACTTTATTTTAATTATTCGCTTATTATCCTAAGATATTACTTTAATTATTCTCTTATCATCTCCTGGATATAAGTAAGATAATCCCAAGAACTTTATTTTAATTATTCGCTTATCATCCAAGATATTATTTAATTATCTCTTATCATCTCCTGGATATAAGTAGATAATCCAAGAACTTATTTAATTATTCGCTTATCATCCTAAGATATTACTTTAATTATTCTCTTATCATCTCCTGGATATAAGTAAGATAATCTAAAACTTATTTTGATTATTCTCTTATTATCCTAAGATATTACTTTAATTATTCTCTTATCATCTCCTGGATATAAGTAAGATAATTCTAAAACATTATTTTAATTATTCTCTTATCATCTCCTAGATATATATAATTAAAACATTGTTTAATCCCTTATTATTCCTGGAATAAGTAAGATAATCTTCAAGCTGTACTTTAATTATTCTCTTATCATCCTAAGATATTACTTTAATTATTCTCTTATCATCTCCTGGATATATATAGTTCTAAAATATTGTTTTAATTATTCTCTTATCATCTCCTAAATATAAGTAAGATAATTCTAAAACATTATTTTAATTATTCTCTTATCATATCATCCTAAGGCATTACTTTAATTATTCTCTTATCATCTCCTGGATATAAGTAAGATAATTCTAAAACATTATTTTGATTATTCTCTTATTACCCTAAGACATTACTTTAATTATTCTCTTATCATCTCCTGGATATAAGTAAGATAATTCTAAAACATTATTTTAATTATTCTCTTATCATCTCCTAGATATATATAATTCTAAAACATTGTTTTAATCCCTTATTATCTCCTGGATATAAGTAAGATAATCTTCAAGCTGTACTTTAATTATTCTCTTATCATCCTAAGATATTACTTTAATTATTCTCTTATCATCTCCTGGATATATATAGTTCTAAAATATTGTTTTAATTATTCTCTTATCATCTCCTAAATATAAGTAAGATAATTCTAAAACATTATTTTAATTATTCTCTTATCATATCATCCTAAGGCATTACTTTAATTATTCTCTTATCATCTCCTGGATATAATATAATTCTAAAACATTATTTTGATTATTCTCTTATCACCCTAAGACATTACTTTAATTATTCTCTTATCATCTCCTGGATATAAGTAAGATAATCTTAAAGCTGTACTTTAATTATTCTCTTATCACCCCAAGACATTACTTTAATCATTCTCTTATCATTTCCTGGATATATATAGTTCTAAAATATTGTTTTAATTATTCTCTTATCATCTCCTGGATATAAATAAGATAATTCTAAAACATTATTTTGATTATTCTATTATCACCTAAGACATTACTTCAATTATTCTCTTATCATTTCCTGGATATATATAATTCTAAAATATTGTTTTAATTATTCTCTTATCATCACCTGGATATAAGTAAGATAATCTTGATAAGGATATAAATAATATATTCTCGATAAGATAAATATAATTATTTTTAATTATATTTATCAATTAAAGAATTTAATTGTACAAATGCAAATTATCAGATAATTTAAATGTAACTTTAAGTAATAAAATATATTACTTTTAATGATAAGTAAAAAAGATGAAAATTTTTTTTTATTTTTTTACCTCTTTTTGCTTCTCTTTAGTATTCATACCATTACATACCATAAGAAGAACATTTCGTAAAGTTGCCCATTTTCTATAAACGTTTGGATTGTTCATATTACGTACGTTAATAACCTTAAAATGTAGTATTTGAGTTAAATATTAAAAGTAATTTAATTTTTTAATTCATTTTTTTTTAATTGCATTTATAAATATTCAAAATTCTAATCAATGTTTCTTTATGATTTCAAATTTTCAAAATAATTACACTTCTCCATTTTAATTAACAGACAGATTCAAATAATTTATTATAATTAGGAAATGTTAAAAAAAAAAAACAAAATTAAAATCTCGCAATACTTCTTAGTTTAAATTCAAAATTTTAAGTTCAAAAATTCAGAAATGAATTATCTTTTACAAATTGAATGAAATTTCAAATAAAATAAAAGATATATTAAAGATTGATCAACTATTATTGCATTTAATCATTCAATTAATTTCAGATATTAAATTTAAAGTAATAATAATAATAAAATTACATTTACAGGTGTTCAATTTGAAATTATTGATTTCTTCAGTTGATTTCATTTTCAATTTTATAATTTTGAATATATAAATATATACACTTCTCAATATGTATCAAAATTAATACTTATCAAATATTCTCGTAAAATTATCAGTCTATTTTAATTTAAATTGAAAATATTTATAACTTTTTTGTTTTTTGTTTTTTTTTTTTAAATAATTTTTCATACTTTAAACAAATGAAATTAATTTAAACAAAATTAATTTTCATTAAAAAAAATTGAAAATTTTCACTTACTTCTTCAATAAGTCTTTGATAAATGTTAAAATTGTTAGAATTTGAAGATGCACCATATTTTTCAAATGTAATCAATGCTTCATCATATTTCATTTGTTTAATTAATTCGGTTGCATATAATGCGACATATTTATCCAACAATGGTTGATGCTACAAGTAATTTTCTTTATCAAATATACAGTAAGTAAGTAAGTTAAGTAAGTAAATAAGTAAGTAAATAAATAAGCGTAGAATTTCTAAGTAAGTAATTAAACGTAGAATTTCTAATTTAATTTTTATAAAAATTAGCAAAAATTGTTGAAAAAAGAATAAAAAAAACAGGGTGTAATTTTATTATAATTTAAGTGGTATTAATTAAAGAACAATTGAAATATTTAATAAATTTAAATCTTTTTTCTTTTTTTTTTTAAAATATCTATCAATAAAACTTATCTTTCTTTAAATTTTAAACCGCCCCTCCCCCCAAAAAAAAAGACGAAAACTTTAAAAATTGGGAAAGAAAAAAAAAAGAATTGAACAAAAAATCCTTTAAAATTCTTTTCCATTTCTTTTCCTTTAAAATTAATAAAATCAATTGATTAAAAATTTGTTTAATTTTGTAAATTTTTTTTTTCCATAGCTAACTAAAATTTTTGATAATTTATGCTAATGAATATAGCAAATTTTTGAATTTTTTAAATTTGAATTTCTATAACAATTTTTTAATTCAACAACAAATGTAATATTACATTTGCTATTATTTATTTTAATAATATCTCTTTTCTTTTTTTTTTTTTTTAAAAATTAGTTTAATAATTTCGAGATTATATATATATTTTTTTTTTCATATATTTCATATGGAAATTAATAACTAACTTTTTGTTGATGTGCTATTTCAAGCGCTTTTTCCCACTGACCATGTTCCAGTAATGCGTCAATAGCGCTAACAATATCAACATCCATTAATTCACCTAATCGACCTTGCTGTTTCAATGATTCCCGGTATTTTTCATCCACAAAATCGGCTAAATCCGGAACAAATTCGATAGCTAACTAAAATTTTAATAATTTATGCTAATGAATCTAGCAAGCAATTACAGCATATGTAAAAATTAAAGTAATAATTATTTTACTTTTTTAGCTTTTGACCATTGTCCACCAAGCAAGAATGCTTTAATAGCATTATCCGGTTGATTTGATGCCAAAAATAATTCAGCTGCTTCAATAAACCTTTAACAATAATTATAAAATTTAAAAAAAAAAATCATTTAAAAAAAATTTTTTTTTTAAAAAAAATCATTTAAAAGAATAATATCACTTTTCATCATTTGAAAAAAAAAAAAAATTAAAATAATATCACTTTTATGAAATATAACTATCATAATTTTTCAGTTTTGAAAATATTTTAATTTTAATTTAAAAATTTTGAATATTCAATTTTTTGATTATGTTTTAATTTTATTAATTAAAAAAATTATTATATAAGCAAATTTTAATAATTCTACTAATATTTCAATTATTACTATTATAGAAAGCATATTAATATAAACTTATTAAAGAAATAAAAAAAAAAATATTAACTGAATTTTTCAATTTTTTTTATATATATGAATTTTTTTTTTTTAAATGAAAATTCAACAAACTATTTTAGTAATAAACTATTTTTCACCGTTTCAAATGAATGAAAATTTCTGCAATTTCATCAACAATTGCAGAAGTTACATCATCTGAGAGAAATTTTATTGCTAATTCTCCAGCCTGAAAAAAAAATAATAATAATAATAAATAAATAAATAATAATTTCTTAGTAATAATAGCAAAGTTTTTTTTTTTTCTTTTTTTTGAAATAAAATTTCAATGAAAAGCAATTTTGATATTCAAATAGAAATATTTGAACAAATTTTTAATCATTTAACAACATTTTCCTCTTCTCCGAGCATTTTCCTCTTATGTACTTAACAATTTTATTAAATTTAAATTCTATTCGAATTTTAGATTTAATAAAATTTTAATTCTAACTGAGCATTTTGGATAAATTATAGTTAAATTGGCAACTGTTAAAATAATCAAACTTCAGTAAAAAAAAAAAAAGAAAATGGAAATTTTTTTTTTTTGTAATTGGATATATGATAAGATAAAAGATAATTGTTATTAATTAATTTCAATAAATAACATTAAATGCAAAATAAAATAATATTAACTTTTATTAAGTCCATTTGAATTTAAATTTAGTAAAATTTTAATTCTAACTAAACATTTTGAATAAATTATGATTGAATTGATGATTTGATGATAAAGTAGGCAAATTTATGATAAGAGAAAAGATAATTTTTATTAATTAATTTCAATAAATAAATGCAAATTAAAATAATACTAAATTTTATTAAATCCATTTGAATTTAGGTTTAGTATAATTTTAATTCTAACTAAACATTTTTGAATAAATTATGATTGAATTGATGATTTAGTGATAAATTAGGCAAATTTATGATAAGAGAAAAGATAATTTTTATTAATTAATTTTAATAAATAAATGCAAATTAAAATAATATTAACTTTTATTAAGTCCATTTGAATTTAAATTTAGTAAAATTTTAATTCTAACTAAACATTTTGAATAAACTATGATTGAATTGATGATTTAGTGATAAAGTAGGCAAATTTATGATAAGAGAAAAGATAATTTTTATTAATTAATTTCAATAAATAAATGCAAATTAAAATAATACTAAATTTTATGAAATATTAATGTTTATACCCGTTTTAAAGCATTTACAACTGTATCAGTATCAGCTGTCTCTGAATCCTTTACTTTTAGATAGCATTGAATAGCTCGAATATATTCACCTTCACTTTCCCAATCTCGTGCTTGTGCAATAAATGATAAAATACCTTTTGCGCCAGATTTTAGCTGTACTTGATCAAATTCCTCCTTTAATAATAATATTTACAAATTATCATGATTTATTTAATTTATTTATTTAATTTATTTTTATTTATTTAATTTATTTTTATTTAATTTTGATTTATTTAATTTATTTTTATTGTTATGTTTTTTTTTCCTAATGTTTACATATTTTTCCATCAATTCATTTAACAATTCTCGAAATTATAATTTGTAATAGAAATAAATGACAATCTAAACAATAAACAACAATTAATTAATTAATTAGAATCAAACTACAGTTATCATGACTTATTTAGTTTATTTTATTGTCAATTTACTAATGTTTACATATTTTTCCACCAATTCATTTAACAATTCTCGAAATTATAATTTGTAATAGAAATAAATGACAATCTAAACAATAAACAACAATTAATTAATTAATTAATTAGTTAATCATGATCAAACTACAGTTATCATGACTTATTTAATTTATTTTATTGTCAATTTACTAATGTTTACATATTTTTCCATCAATTCATTTAACAATTATCGAAATTATAATTTGTAATAGAAATAAATGACAATCTAAACAATAAACAACAATTAATTAATTAATTAATTAGAATCAAACTAAGTTATATGACTTATTTAGTTTATTTTATTGTCAATTTACTAATGTTTAATATTTTTAACCAATTCATTTAACAATTCTCGAAATTATAATTTGTAATAGAAATAAATGAAATGTAAACAATAAACAATTAATTAATTAATTAAAATTAATTAATCAAATAAATTATCATGATTATTTAGTTTATTTATTGTCAATTTACTAATTTTACATATTTTTCAACCAATTCATTTAACAATTCTGAATTATAATTTGTAATAGAAATAAATGATAATCTAAACAATAAACAACATTAATTAATTAATTAGGATCAAATAATTATCATGACTTATTTAGTTTATTTTATTGTCAATTTACTAATGTTTACATATTTTTCCACAAATTCATTTAACAATTCTCGAATTATAATTTGTAATAGAAATAAATGATAATCTAAACAATAAACAACAATTAATTAATTAATTAGTTAATCATGATCAAATTTGTTAGCTTAGCAAATAATTTGCATATGTTTTATTAATAAATAAGTCATGATCAAACTTATTGTAATTTTATTATCGTAGCAAATAATTTGCATATATTTTATTAATAAACAAATAAATAAATAAATCATAATCAAATTTATTAGCTTAGCAAATAATTTGCATATGTTTTAGTAATAAATAAATAAATAATCATGATCAAGTTTGCAAATAATTCTAAATTTATTATCGTAGCAAATAATTTGCATATGTTTTATTAATAAACAAATAAACAAATAAATAAATCATGATCAAATTTTTGTTAGCCCAGCAAATAATTTGCATATGTTTTATTAATAAAAAAATAAATGATGATCAAATTTTTGTTAGCTTAGCAAATAAGCTTATTTTAATAGTAAATTTTTAAAATTATTACTTACTTCTAATGTTTTAATTCTGCAATATAATCTTTAGCAATACGTATAGCATCTTGCAATTTCTAATTCTTTATAAATCGTAAAAATTATTTCAATGATTTGCCCGAAGTAAGCAACTTTGCAATGCAAAATTTTTTGCTCAATTAATTCGAGCTTGTCGAATTATACATAGATAATGTTTCTGGACTATGCTTTCTATAAATTATTTACTCAAAAAAAAAATTTTTTTTTTTTAAAAAAAAAAAAGAAAAAAAAATCTTTTTAAAATTTAGTTATTACTAAATTTATTGCATGTGTAATTTTTGCTATTAATTTAATCAATAGTACAAAATTTGTGTATTTTAGTATTTCATAAGATTAATCAATATTTATGCTAATATTATCAATTAAAGCAAAATAGGTATTTGTTTTAATTTTAAATAACTTTTGATTTTCCCTTTTTTTTTTTTTATTCCAAAAAGTTTTATTTTTAAAATATACGAACACGTGCTTAGATTAGATATTATTAAATATTGATTGTTTACATTGTTTTAATCGATATTTAGAAAGTAAACACACTTTTTGCAAAGATTAATTATTATTAAATATTGATTGTTTACATTGTTTTAATCGATATTTAGAAAGTAAACATACTTTTTGCAAAGATTAATTATTATTAAATATTGATTGTTTACATTGTTTTAATTGATATTTAGAAAGTAAACATGCTTTTTACAAAGATTAATTATTATTAAATATTGATTGTTTAGTAAACATACTTTTTACAAAGATTAATTATTATTAAATATTGATTGTTTACATTGTTTTAATTGATATTTAGAAAGTAAACATACTTTTTGCAAAGATTAATTATTATTAAATATTGATTGTTTAGTAAACATACTTTTTGCAAAGATTAATTATTATTAAATATTAATTGTTTACATTGTTTTAATTGATATTTAGAAAATAAACGTACTTTTTGCAAAGATTAATTATTATTAAATATTGATTGTTTACATTGTTTTAATTGATATTTAAAAAGTAAACATACTTTTTACAAAGATTAATTATTGTTAAATATTAATTGTTTACATTGTTTTAATCGATATTTAGAAAGTAAACATACTTTTTGCAAAGATTAATTATTATTAAATATTGATTGTTTACATTGTTTTAATCGATATTTAGAAAGTAAACATACTTTTTACAAAGATTAATTATTATTAAATATTGATTGTTTACATTGTTTTAATCGATATTTAGAAAGTAAACATACTTTTTACAAAGATTAATTATTATTAAATATTGATTGTTTAGTAAACATACTTTTTAAAAGATAATTATTATTAATATTGATTGTTACATTGTTTTAATTAATATTTAAAAAGGTAAACATACTTTTTGCAAAGATTAATTATTATTAAATATTAATTGTTTACATTGTTTTAATTGATATTTAAAAAGTTAAACATACTTTGCAACTCGTTCAGCATTTTCCCAATCTTGATCATGAATATACATTAATATAGCTTCTTTAGGCTTACCACTTTCTATAAAATGCATTTCAGCTTTTTCAAATTCACCTTCCTCTTCCAATTGTTGTGCTAATTTGAAATGCACTGATGGTAAACGATTTTTTGCTTCCAAACGACACAAATCAAATGCAAAATCGAATGCTCTTAAAAAAATATCTTAAATAAGCAATAAATTTTAAAAGAATGAAAAAGAAGAAAAAAAAAAAAAAACAATCATATAATAATTGAATGATTTTTATTATTGAAAATTTATTATTACTTATTTGTTTTTTAATTCATTTCTAGTCCAATTACCATTATTATTATTATTATTTTTTTAATATTTATTAAACATACAAATATATTTAGCAAAAAAAAAAAAAAAATACTTTTAATCTTATACTTACCCATTTTCGCATGCATAATCAATCGATTCATCTAGTAATTTAAATTTCTGCAATAATTTCACTGCTGCATCACTATTTAAACTTTTTGCCCACAAAAATGCAATCTAAAAAAGTAATAATATAGATTAGATTATCATTCGTTATATTATTATTATTATTATCACTGCTACTATTATTATTATCACTACTACTGTTATTATTATCATTATTATTATTACTATTATTGTTATTGTTACTATTATTATTATTATCACCACTATCATTATTATTATTATTATTATTATTATTATTATTATTATTATTATTATATATTATTATTTAATGATATATTATTATTATTATTATCATTATTACTACTATTTTTATTATTATTACTACTACTATTATTACTATTATTATTATTATTATTATCACTGCTATTTTCATCATTATTACTATTATTATCATTATTATTATCACTATTATTATCACTACTACTATTATATTATCATCCCTAACCATCATTCGAAGTATCTTATCTTAATTTTAATTTTAGAATAAACAGATAGAAAACTACTACTACTACTACTACTACTACTTACTACTACTACTACTACTACTACTACTACTACTACTACTACTACTACTACTACTATATTATTATTATTACTATTATATTATCATCCCTAACCATCATTTGAAGTATCTTATCTTAATTTTAATTTTAGAATAAATAGATAGAAAAATACTACTACTACTACTATTATTACTATTATATTATCATCCCTAACCATCATTCAAAGTATCTTATCTTAATTTTAATTTTAGAATAAATAGAAAAAAACTACTACTACTAAAAATATTACACACCTGTTTTTGTGCCATATCATCACCTTCCTGTTTAGCAATCCTATAAGCATCATTCCATATTTCAGCATTACGATACATATTAACTGCTTTTTTCCATTCATTAGCAAGTAAATAATGCTCTTCTGCTTCTCGTAAATTACCTTTTTCCTCCAAATCAATTGCCACTTGAAGATGAGTTTCCTAACAAAATACAATGCATATTGTTTACAAAACAATTATTTACATTTAATATAATATAATATTGATATTGATATATTGATATAATGATAATAATGATAATAATATTCTATTTGAAATAAAAAAAAAGAAAAAAAATATTATTGATAAATTCTGATTATCACTTTTCTTTCAATCCAGTTTCATTTCAATTGATAAAAATTTTACTATAACAAACTTTGACATTCTCGATATGATATTTTTCCATCAATCTTATCATATCATCAATTCGATCTGTTTTCTTATACATTGCAATAGCATTATTAACTTGTCCAATTGCAATATATAGCTAAATATGAAAAATATTAATGATAATTTAAAAAAATAATTATTGAAATTAAATTATAATAAAATAGATTAAGCATTGAAATTACAATTTATCACTAAATATTAATGATAATTTAAGAAATAATTATTCAATAATTACTCTTTTTTTCTTCTTTGAAATTAAATTATAATAAAATAGATTAAGCATTGAAATTATAATTTATCACTAAATATTAATGATAAATTAAAAAATAATTATTCAATAATTACTCTTTTTTTCTTCTTTGAAATTAAATTATAATAAAATAGATTAAGTATTGAAATTACAATTTATCACTAAATATTAATGATAATTTAAGAAATAATTATTGAAATTAAATTGTAATAAAATAAATTAAGCATTGAAATTACAATTTATCACTAAATATTAATGATAATTTAAAAAATAATTATTCAATAATTACTCTTTTTTTCTTCTTTGAAATTAAATTATAAATAGATTAAGCATTGAAATTACAATTTATCACTAAATATTAATGATAATTTAAAAAATAATTATTGAAATTAAATTATAATAAAATAGATTAAGCATTGAAATTACAATTTATCACTAAATATTAATGATAATTTAAAAAATAATTATTCAGTAATTACTCTTTTTTTTTCTTCTTTCTTTTCAAAATTAAATTATAATAAAATAAATTAAAAAAAAAAAAACAATCATTTAAAATTGCCACCTGCTCTGCATCCTTTAAACGACCACTATTTTCCATTGTTTGTGCTAATTCTTCATACATTTGATCACTCTCAACTCCCATAAATTCTGTAGCTAACTAAAATAATTTATTCAATTTGTTATAATTCTAAATTTATTTATTTATTTATTTTTAAAAACTAAAAATAACCGATAAAGTTAGTTAGATGTAGAAATTTTTAAAATTAATTTAAATGAAAATTAGACTCTTTAGCGTTTTTTTTTTCCAATGCTTAAAAAAAAAAGTAAATAAAAAGCATTTGAAATAGAGAAAAATAAATTTTAAAATCTATTAAACAATCAAATGAATTAATGAAATATTTCATATACTTGATAAATTTAATGTTAACCTAAAATTACCCACAAAAACAATTAGCACTTACTTACCCGATATGAATCAGCCCATCGGGAAGCTTTATTATACATTTCGATTGCTTCTCGATGCATTTTTGCTTCAATGTATAACATTTCAGCTCGCTAAATTCTTTTTTTTTTTTTTTGATCACATTTCAACAATCTTTTTAATTTTTAATTTAATATTTTTGCTTCTTCTCTTCTATTTTATTAAAAAAGCATTTATAAGATTAATTTCATTTTTATTTGATCAATTTTTTAGACACTAACTCAAAATTATATTACACATAATAATCATAATAATCTTATCTTAATCTTATTTTGTTAAAGTAATCTATCTCAAGATCATCAATACTTGCATGATTATTCTCGATCTTTTTAAGATTAATTTCATTCTTTGATAAATTTCTTAGAAACTACTCAAAATTATATTACAAATAATAATAATCTTGTCTTGTTAAAGTAATCTTTCTCAAGATCACCAATACTTGCATGATTATTCTCGACCTTTTCAAGATTAATTTCATTCTTTGATAAATTTCTTAGAAATTACTCAAAATTATATTACACATAATAATAACCTTGTCTTGTTAAAGTAATCTATCTCAAGATCATCAATACTTGCATGTTTATTCTCGACCTCTTCAAGATTAATTTCATTTTTATTTCATAGTCAGATAATTTAAAGTAATCTATCTCAAGATCATCAATACTTGCATGTTTATTCTCGATCTTTTCAAGATTAATTTCATTTTTATTTGATAACTTTTTCTAGAAATTACTAATATAATGATCATAATAATAATCTTATCTTATTAGCCAGATAATTTAAAAAAAAAATTAATTAATCTACCTCAAGATCATCAATACTTGCATGATTATTCTCGACTTTTTCAAGATTAATTTCATTTTCATTTTATAGTCAGATAATTTAAAGTAATCTATCTCAAGATCATCAATACTTGCATGTTTATTCTCGACCTATTCAAGATTAATTTCATTTTTATTTGATAACTTTTTCTAGAAATTACTAATATAATGATCATAACAATGATCTTATCTTATCAGCCAGATAATTTTAAAAAAAAAAAAGATTAATTAATCTACCTCAAGATCACCAATACTTGCATGATGATCAGCAATTTTGCCATAGTATCGTTTTGCCAGTTCGCTATCTTCAATTACATCAACAATTTGTGCAGCTCTACTCCATTGTTTTGCTTTAATTGATGCTTCAAGTGCTTTTGCTGTTTTTCCACTTTCTGCAAATGGCATAAATTTAAATTTTAAAATTAAAACTAAAACTCAAAACTGGAACATAGATAGATAGATTAATCTAATAATAATACAAACCAAGAAAATGATTTATTGCTGCATCATAATTTCCTTCTGCAATCAAATAATCACCCCAATCCTCTTCCAATGAAATAACTTTTTCCGGAAAATGTATTCGTGCTAGCTAAAATATTTAATTGATTTGTGAAAAGAGAAATTTTTTTGCATAAATAATAATTGAAAAAAAAAAAAAAATTTTTTTTTTTCATTAACATTAAATGATTATAATTATTAACCTGAATAGCTTTTGCATAACTTTTTCCTTTTTGATAATTTTCCAATGATTGTTCAAAATTTTTTATTGCTTCAAATAATTCACCAGCCTAAAAAATTTTATAATTTCTAATTTTCTTTTTTTTTTTTTTTAAAAATTTCAAATAATATATAAATATATACAAATATATTAGATTAAATTATTATAATAAAAAAAAGAAAGAGACAAAATTGAATAGCAAACTTTTTTAAATTGATCAGAGCCTAAAAAATTTTATAATTTCTAATTTTCTTTTTTTTTTTTTAAATTTCAAATAATATATAAATATATACAAATATATTAGATTAAATTATTATAATAAAAAAAAAAGAGACAAAAGAATTGAATAGCAAACTTTTTCAAATTGATCAAAGCCTAAAAAATTTTATAATTTCTAATTTTCTTTTTTTTTTTTTTTTAAAAATTTCAAATAATATATAAACATATACAAATATATTAGATTAAATTATTATAATTAAAAAAAAGAGACAAAAGAATTGAATAGCAAACTTTTTCAAATTGATCAGATTGTATCAATGCTGTAATAACACTTTGTACTAAATCATCTTTAAATAAAAGTTTTGAATTTTGCAAAAGGATACGAGCAGCTTGAATGATCAAACCAGCTTTCAAATATAATTCAATTGCAACAAGCAAATCACCATCACGTTCTGATATCTGAAATTAGCTACTTTTTAATTTAATTTAAATTTAATTTTTTAAAAAAGCCATTATTGAAAGATTACAATGATTACACTTTTAGGTTTACGATAAATGATAAAAGTTCAATAATTCTAGAAAATTTTTTAAAAGTTTATTTATTATCATATTTATATGTGCTAAATTTTTAATTGTAAAAATACGCCAAATTTTTAATTGTAAAAATGATCCGAAAAAATGAGCTAAAAATTTAACTAAGATCACTTTTCGAGATGAAAATAAATTATATAGGTTGTAATAACATTACCAAAAAAAAATGATATGTAGATGATAATTATGATAATAATTGTGATAAATTATGATAATATATAGATGATAAATGTGATAATAATTATGATAAACTATAATAATATGTAAATAATGATTATGGCAACAATTATGATAATATAAGAATGATAATTATGATAATAACTATGGCAAACTATAATAATATGTAAATGATGATTATGACGATAATTATAATAATATAAGGTTGATAATTATGATAATAGTTATGGTAAACTATAATAATATGTAGATGATGATTATGATAAATTATGATAATATGTATATGATAATTACGATAATAATTATAATAAACTATGATAATATATAGATAATGATTATGACAATAATTATGACGATAATTATGATAATACATAGATGATAGATTATGATAAATATTAATGTACATGATGTAATATTTCATAAAGAACAGAATTAAAATTAATTTTTTTTTCTTTTTTTTTTTTTGAATATTAGAAAAAAAAAAAAAAAACAAACTTGTGCAGCTTTTCCATCCTGACCTGTATCAAATAAATAACGATAGTATCGTGCTTTAACAGTTTCCAAGTCTGGATGATTCTTGAAAAAAATTAAAAAAATAAATAATTAATGAATTTTTGAAATAGGTATAAATCTCGTAGAATATTTAATGATAAAAAACATACTTGTGATTGAGCTAACTCAAATGCTTCATCCCATTTGCCAATTTGCTGATAAATTTCAATAATTTCATCTAATGCATTCTATAAATTAAATTGAACAAATTTAATTAGTAAAATAAAATTTTTAATTTACTTTAAAAGACTGTTAAATTTGTTTTCAATCAAAATTTGAATATAATAATTATTAATAATAATAATAATCAATTATTGATTATAATTATTATAAAACGATTCATAAAGTAGCTTAATTCTTTTTTTTTTTTTGACAATAGGTATATTTGTTTCACCTGTTCGAGATAAATTCTTTCAGCTTCTCGAAAATCTTTATTCATAAGAGCTAGACGTGCTTGAACCTGAAAGGAAAAAAAATTTTGATTACTGCTAATGATTAATAACAAAAAGTAATACATATATGGAATGAGCCACTTATCACTAATATGTGCTATGATAAGGATCAATCACTCATCACTAATATGTGCTATGATAAGGATCAACCACTCATCACTAATATGTGCTATGATAAGGATCAACCACTCATCACTAATATGTGCTATGATAAGGATCAACCACTCATCACTAATATGTGCTATGATGCTATGATAAGGATCAACCATTTATCAGTAACATGTGCTATGATAAGGATCAACCACTCATTACTAATATGTGCTATGATAAGGATTGACCATTTATCAGTAATATGTGCTATGATAAGGATCGACCATTTATCAGTGATATGTGCTATGATAAGGATCAACCACCCATCACTAATATGTGCTATGATAAGGATCGACCACTTATCAGTGATATGCGCTATGATAAGGATTGACCACTTATCAGTAATATGTGCTATGATAAGGATCAACCACTCATCACTAATATGTGCTATGATAAGGATCAACTACTTATTAGTAATATGTGCTATGATAAGGACCGACACTTATCAGTAATATGTGCTATGATAAGGATCAACCATTTGTCAGTAATATGTGCTATAATAAGGATCAACCATTTATCAGTAATATGTGCTGTGATAAGGACCAACCACCCATCACTAATATGTGCTATGATAAGGATCAACCATTTATCAGTAATATGTGCTATAATAAGGATCAACCATTTATCAGTAATATGTGCTGTGATAAGGACCAACCATCCATCACTAATATGTGCTATGATAAGGATCAACCATCCATCACTAATATGTGCTATAATAAGGATCAACCATTTATCAGTAATATGTGCTGTGATAAGGACCAACCATCCATCACTAATATGTGCTATGGTAAGGATCAACCACTTATCAGTGATATGTGCTGTGATAAGGACCAACCATCCATCACTAATATGTGCTATAATAAGGATCAACCACTTATCAGTGATATGTGCTATGATAAGGATTAACCACTTATCAGTGATATGTGCTATGATAAATTTAAATAAAGAAAAAAATAATACTTTATAATTATTTTTTCCATCATCACCGGTATTTCTCGTTATTTCATCAGCAATTCGAATCATTTCCACAAGCATTTGCACTCGAGAAATATCACCCAATGCTGCGAAACATCGTTGTGCAATCAATAATTGTTGTTGTGATAATGCAACCTATAAGAAATTATATTTTATCAAAAATCATTTCCAAAACTTTTTTAAAAAAAAAAAAAAATCTTAAAATAGTTATATATTGGATTGATACAAATATGAAAAATATCATTTATTAAATATTATAATTTATGGTATAATTATATTTAATTTATGATAACTTTCTCAAAATATTATCATTAAATTATATATTCGAATTTTTTCTCATAATTTACTTTTATCATTAAATTATATTATAATTTGTGTAGTAATTTTCTTAAAATATTATCAGTAAATTATATATTCGAATTTTTTCTCATAATTTACTTTTATCATTAAATTATATTATAATTTCTATGGTAATTTTCTTAAAATATTATCCATAAATTATAATTTATGTGGTAATTTTCTAAAATATTATCAGTAAATTATATATTCGAATTTTTCTCATAATTTACTTTTATCATTAAATTATATTATAATTTCTATGGTAATTTTCTTAAAATATTATCAGTAAATTATATATTCGAATTTTTTCTCATAATTTACTTTTATCATTAAATTATATTATAATTTCTATGGTAATTTTCTTAAAATATTATCCATAAATTATAATTTATGTGGTAATTTTCTTAAAATATTATCAGTAAATTATATATTCGAATTTTTTCTCATAATTTACTTTTATCATTAAATTATATTATAATTTCTATGGTAATTTTCTTAAAATATTATCAGTAAATTATATATTCGAATTTTTTCTCATAATTTACTTTTATCAATAAATTATATTATAATTTGTGTGGTAATTTTCTAAAAATATTATCAGTAAATTATATATTCGAATTTTTTCTCATAATTTACTTTTATCAATGAATTATATTATAATTTGTGTGGTAATTTTCTTAAAATATTATCACTAAATTATATATTCTAATTTTTTCTCATAATTTACTTTTATCATTAAATTAAATTATAATTTATTGATAATTTACTTAATCAATGATAAGAAACCTGAGCAAGTTGACGCCATAGTACTGTTGTATCATATTCCTCGTCTTCTCGTTTCTCTAAAAAATCAATTGCTCGAGCAAAATCAAATCGATCAATAGCGGAAGCAAATTCGATAAGTGTTTGATCAAGTTCATAAGCAACTTTTTCATTTGCTTCCTATAAAATTCATTTTAAAAAGAGAAAAAAAAATATATAAAATAAAAGTTATGCAAATTTTTAAAAATTTTTTCATATAATTAAAAAAAAAAATTGAAAATACATAGTATTTATATTTAATTTCGTATTTACTTTCATATTACTTTTATGTTTACTTTCGTATTTACTTTTGTATTTCAATTCCTGAAGCAATCTAATTTTGATCTGTTTGAAATTAGCATAAATTTGAGTTAATTTACAAGCAAACATTTTATCATTTAAATTTTAAATTTTCTTAAATTTTTTTAAAATAGAATTTTTGATTTTAGATTAAATTATCGCTTGCAATATATTTCAAATTTATGTGTGAATTTTCGTTTAATTTATCATAATTTATTTAGTGCTAATTGTTAGTGCTTTCTTAAAAACAATTCTTCTTATTTCCATAAAATTAAAAAAAAAAAAAGAAAAAATCAATTTTAAAACCATTCTTATTTTCTTTTTTTCTGAAATGTTATTGCGTAGAAAAAAAAATTAGAAATAAACATAATTGTTTATTTCTAATTTTAATTTAAATATTTAAAAATTGCCAAACACATATGTTTTCTCTATATGATAATTTAAAAAAGGAAAATTTTTTATGAAAATTTTCTCATCTTTAAAAACTTTACTTTCTACTCTTCTTCTCCCATATAAAATTTTAATAAAAAAAAAACTTTACTTTCTAGCAATTTTTAAAAATTTTACTTTCTACTCTTCTTCTCTCCAATTATTGTTTATTTTAATAAACAAAACAATAACAACAACAATAATAATAATAATAATTGTATTTAACCTCAACAATAACTTCAGTTCTAGATTCATCACGAAGAACAGTTTCAATTTCACCTTTTATAGGTATCATTACCATCTGCAAAATATAATCAAATTTTATTTCATTTTTTTAAATTTATTTACTTCTTATCTAATCAAATTAAAATAAAAGTTATACGAGAAATGAAGAAAGTTAAATATAAACAAATAAACAAATAAACAAAAAAAAAAAAGAAGAAAACTTTTACTTCATTTATTTACTTCTTATCTAATCAAATTAAGATAAAAGTTATACGAGAAGTGAAGAAAGTTAAATGTAAACAAATATAAACAAATAAACAAAAAAATATATGAACAAATAAACAAATAAACAAAAAAAAAAAGAAGAAAACTTTTACTTCATTTATTTACTTCTTATCTAATCAAATTAAAATAAAAGTTATACGAGAAGTGAAGAAAGTTAAATATAAACAAAAAAAAAAAAAAGAAGAAAACTTTTACTTCATCAGGATTTTCTGCTTGATACCAAATGCAAAGTTGATCAATCGATTGAGCTACAATAACATCACTATTAGGAACCCATTGAACATAACTACAATAATCCAACAATGATATCTTTCGATCACTTTTGATATCAGCTAGCAATAATCGAGATCTCTTATCACGAAACAATAATTTTGTTGCCATTTCACTAAGCTAAAAAAGAATTAATAAATTTATTTTAATTCAATCATCTTTCATTTTAAGGAAGGAATAGTGATAGCATATGATTTTGATTATAATTGATTACAAAATTATATTTAAGTCATACTTAAATTTGATAAATAAATGTGATAATTAGTAATGATCAGTTGATAATCGATGAAATTGATCAACATGAAGATTTAATAATTAAATTTAAATTATTTCACCGAACATTGATTGTGTTTTAATTCAATCATCTTTGATTTCAAAGAAGGAATGATGATAACTTATGATTTTGATTATAATTGATTACAAAATTATATTTAAGTCATACTTAAATTTGATAAATAAATGTAATAATTAGTAATGATCAGTTGATAATCGATGAAATTGATCAACATGAAGATTTAATAATTAAATTTAAATTATTTCATCGAACATTGATCATGTTTTAATTCAATCATCTTTCATTTCAAGGATGGAATGATGATAACTTATGATTATAATTGATTACAAAATTATATTTAAATCATACTTAAATTTGATAAATAAATGTAATAATTAGTAGTGATCAGTGATAATCGATGAAATTGATCAACATGAAGATTTAGTAATTAAATTCAAATTATTTCACCGAACATTGATTGTATTTTAATTTTATCATCTTTCATTTCAAAGAAGGAATGATGATAGCATATGATTTTGATTATAATTGATTACAAAATTATATTTAAGTCATACTTAAATTTGATAAATAAATGTAATAATTAGTAGTGATCAGTGATAATCGATGAAATTGATCAACATGAAGATTTAATAATTAAATTTAAATTATTTCAACAAATAATAAATATATTGAAATATCTATAAAATATATTAAAATATCAATTTTGTTTTGATAACAACAAAACGAAATGAATAAAATAAACCTCAAGCCAATCGATGTATACTGGATGCGTAAATTGTGCAATCTGTCGTTGACTTATTAAATCAACTATAAAAACAAAACAAAAAAATATTAAAATTAGAAGGTGAAAAAAAAACGAAAAGAAAAATAATTTTAATTGTTTTTAAATTTTCTCAAAATACATTTTATAACTCATATATATAGAATAAATTTAAATTTATAACTCATATATATAGAATAAATTTAAATAAATAAATGATACTTTCATTATTTTTTTTTATAATTATTTTTTTTTTATTTAATCAATATTTTTAAGGATTAAAAAAAAAAAAATGCTAAAAATTGAGTAATAATAATAATAATAATAATAATAATAATAATAATAATAATAATCCAAATGAATTTAAGTAAAAGAGAAGTTGAATTGATTTTGTTAACTCAAAAAAAATTATCAAAAATTCAAATTAAAATAATCAAAAATTAAAATTAAAATTATAGAATTATAAAATTATAGAATATCAAAAATTAAAATTATAACAAAAGAAATGATATATTATAAAATTATTCCAAAAATAAAAAAAAATTTAAATCACATACACACCCACTGAAATGGTATTCAAATCAAGCAGATAAGCAACACGCTTTATAATATTTATATTTTTAAGTTGTTGTTTTGTAATTCGTACTGAAATGAGATGTGTTGATATGAGCTCTGTTCGAATCCAACCAATTATCTCATTATTTCCATATTCTACCAAATTTACCTATTAATAAATAAATTTCAATTATTCCTATTGTTGACTAATAAATAACAAAAAATTAAATATTTTAAATTCAAAAAAAAAGGTATAATTATTGATGCATTTGAATTTCAAACAATAATTAAATCATTACTATTAAAATCACTATTTGCTGATTATCATTTATGATATATATATATATATTTAATTCTTAATTTTAAATTCAAAAAAAGGTATAATTATTGATACATTTGAATTACAAACAATAATTAAATCATTACTATTAAAATCATTGTAAAAAATCACTATTTGTTGACTATCATTTATGATATATATATTTAATTCTTAATAATTAGAAATTAGATTCATCAAATTTCCATTATTTCTATTGCTGAATACACTGAATAATAAATAAAATAATATTAAATATTTTATTTTAAATCAAAAAACGAAGCATAATTATTGATACATTTGATTTTCAAACAATAATTAAATCATTACTTATAAAAATCAGTACAAGTTTTAATTATCATTTATAATATATATTTAATTCTTAATAACTATAAATTCGATTGATCAAATTTCAGTTGTTTCTATTGTTGACTAATAAATAAAACAAAATTAAATATTTTAAATTCAAAAAAAAAGGTATAATTATTGATGCATTTGATTTTCAAACAATAATTAAATCATTACTTATTAAAATCAATACAAGTTTTAATTATCATTTATAATATATATTTAATTCCTAATAACTATAAATTCGATTGATCAAATTTCAGTTGTTTCTATTGTTGACTAATAAATAAAAAAAAAATTAAATATTTTAAATTCAAAAAAAAGGTATAATTATTGATGCATTTGATTTTCAAACAATAATTAAATCATTACTTATTAAAATCAATACAAATTTTAATTATCATTTATAATATATATTTAATTCTTAATAACTATAAATTCGATTGATCAAATTTCAGTTGTTTCTATTGTTGACTAATAAATAAAACAAAAATTAAATATTTTAAATTCAAAAAAAAAGGTATAATTATTGATGCATTTGATTTTCAAACAATAATTAAATCATTACTTATTAAAATCAATACAAGTTTTAATTATCATTTATAATATATATTTAATTCCTAATAACTATAAATTCGATTGATCAAATTTCAGTTGTTTCTATTGTTGACTAATAAATAAAACAAAATTAAATATTTTAAATTCAAAAAAAAGGTATAATTATTGATGCATTTGATTTTCAAACAATAATTAAATCATTACTTATTAAAATCAATACAAGTTTTAATTATCATTTATAATATATATTTAATTCCTAATAACTATAAATTCGATTGATCAAATTTCAGTTATTTCTATTGTTGACTAATAAATAAGACAAAATTAAATATTTTAAATTCAAAAAAAAAAAGGTATAATTATTGATGCATTTGAATTTCAAACAATAATTAAATTAATATTATTAAAATCAGTATAAATTTCAATTATCATTTATGATATATATTTAATTCTTAATAATTATAAATTAGATTCATCAAATTTCTATTATTTCTATTGCTGATTACGCTGAATAATAAATAAAACAATATTAAATATTTTAAATTCAAAAAAAAGGTATAATTATTGATGCATTTAAATTTCAAACAATAACTAAACCATTACTTATTAAAATCATTACAAGTTTTAATTGTCATTTATAATATATATTTAATTCTTAATAACTATAAATTCGATGATCAAATTTCAATTATTTCTTTTGTTGACTAATAAATAACACAAAATTAAATATTTTAAATTCAAAAAAAGGTATAATTATTGATACATTTGATTTTCAAACAATAATTAAATCACTACTTATTAAAATCAGTACAAGTTTTAATTATCATTTATGCTATATATTTAATTCTTAATAACTATAAATTCGATTGATCAAGTTTCAATTATTTCTTTTGTTGACTAATAAATAACACAAAATTAAATATTTTAAATTCAAAAAAAGTATAATTATTGATACATTTGATTTTCAAACAATAATTAAATCATTACTTATTAAAATCACTATTTGTTGATTATCATTTATGATATATATATTTATTTCTTAATTTTAAATTCAAAAAAAGGTATAATTATTGATACATTTGAATTACAAACAATAATTAAATCATTATTATTAAAATCATTGTAAAAATCACTATTTGTTGATTATCATTTATGATATATATTTAATTCTTAATAATTAGAAATTAGATTCATCAAATTTCTATTATTTCTATTGCTGATTACGCTGAATAATAAATAAAACAATATTAAATATTTTAAATTCAAAAAAAAGGTATAATTATTGATGCATTTAAATTTCAAACAATAACTAAATCATTACTTATTAAAATCAGTACAAGTTTTAATTGTCATTTATAATATATATTTAATTCTTAATAACTATAAATTCGATTGATCAAATTTCAATTATTTCTTTTGTTGACTAATAAATAACACAAAATTAAATATTTTAAATTCAAAAAAAAGGTATAATTATTGATACATTTGATTTTCAAACAATAATTAAATCACTACTTATTAAAATCAGTACAAGTTTTAATTATCATTTATGCTATATATTTAATTCTTAATAACTATAAATTCGATTGATCAAGTTTCAATTATTTCTTTTGTTGACTAATAAATAACACAAAATTAAATATTTTAAATTCAAAAAAAAGGTATAATTATTGATACATTTGATTTTCAAACAATAATTAAATCATTACTTATTAAAATCACTATTTATTGATTATCATTTATGATATATATATTTATTTCTTAATTTTAAATTCAAAAAAAGGTATAATTATTGATGCATTTGAATTACAAACAATAATTAAATCATTATTATTAAAATCATTGTAAAAAATCACTATTTGTTGATTATCATTTATGATATATATATTTAATTCTTAATAATTAGAAATTAGATTCATCAAATTTCTATTATTTCTATTGCTGATTACGCTGAATAATAAATAAAACAATATTAAATATTTTAAATTCAAAAAAAAGGTATAATTATTGATGCATTTAAATTTCAAACAATAACTAAACCATTACTTATTAAAATCAGTACAAATTTTAATTATCATTTATAATATATATTTAATTCTTAATAACTATAAATTCGATTGATCAAATTTCAATTATTTCTATTGTTGACTAATAAATAAGACAAAATTAAATATTTTAAATTCAAAAAAAAAAAGGTATAATTATTGATGCATTTGAATTTCAAACAATAATTAAATTAATATTATTAAAATCAGTATAAATTTCAATTATCATTTATGATATATATTTAATTCTTAATAATTATAAATTAGATACAACAAATTTCAATTATTTCCATGTATACAGCTCATTGCATTGAAATAATTGCATGTTAAAATTAAAATTATCATATGCATACCTCACCAGCATTAATTATCATACAAACATTTTCGTTATCAAAATAGAATTTCTCATTACCAGCACTTTGCCATTCAATTTCACTGCAATAACCACTCCTCATATCAGCAATTATCAGTGTATTTGTTGTATAAGCAATCACATATCGATCATGTCCCATTATCTTAATTAAAATATTAGCAATTAAAATTAAAACTTTGATAATTAATAAATAATTAGAGGATGAATACAAATGCTATGTAACACTTACAATTTTCAGCATAATCATAAAAAAAGGAGCAAATTTAACTCTAGCAATACTGATAATAATAATAATAATAATAATAATAATAATAATAATAATAATAATAATAATAATAATAATAATAGTAATGATAATAATAATAATACTAAATAATAATAGTAATAATGATAATAATTTAATTTTACCAATAATAATACAATACTAATACCATTGCTAAATAAATAATAAGTAATAATGACAACAATAGTAATGATAATATTCTTAAATTATTAGTTTAAAATATAATATAATAATACTATATATAATAATAATAATAATAATAATAATAATAATAATAATAATAATAATAATGATAATATTGTAATGATAATAACCTTAAATAAATAATATAATAATACTAGTATATATATATATATATGTATATTAATATAATAATACTAATATAGTAATGATAATAACCTTAAATTTATTTAACTCTACTACTAATAATATAATACTAATATTAATATTTAATGATAATAATAATAGTAATGATAATAATCTTAAATTATCAGTTTAAAAAGGTAAAAAAGATTATACAAAATGAGAAAAAAATTACTTTAATTTCATTAATAGGTAATCCTTTAGAAGAATGAATTGTTACATGTTGTTCAGTAGATGTATCTTTAATAATAACTTGTGAGGGAGAAACATATTTTGTTTCAAAATGTCCTTTCAGTATGAAATGTTTTAAACAACAATCTAAGATTATCACTGCACCACATAATGTACCCTGAAATTATAGCTAAATTAATTTTTTTTTCTTTTTAAAAATATGCTAATAAATAATTTAAATTTAAAAGATGTCCTTTCAATATGAAATGTTTTAAACAACAATCTAAGATTATCACTGCACCACATAATGTACCCTGAAATTATAGCTAAATTAATTTTTTTTTTTTTAAATATGCTAACAAATAATTTAAATTTAAAAGATAAATTATTGTTAAATATTTTCAAATATTGCATACTTTACAAGAAAAGCAATAATATTTGTGTATTGTTTGCTTCATAATATTAGCTACAGTAATCCTATCAAAAAAGTGCGCAAATGGTTTATTACAAGTTGTCACAGGTGTTAAATCTCCGATGACTTTTAGACGTAACGTTACGTTAACGTTACGTTACGTAACATTACTTAACTAAACCATAAAGCATCCATGGTTTTTTTGCAACGAAGTAAGTAATATATATAAGTAAAATTACTAAATTAGTAATAATAGTATCGTTGCTTATTTCATTTTTTTTTTTTTTTGAATTTTTATTAAAATGTTAAAATTTTTATGAAATAAACAAACCACTGCAATAGTTGAACCATCTGGACTCCATGCTAATGCGCTAATTGTATATAAGTAACGAATCTCTAATGGTTTACCTTCATCTAAAGCACCTCGTCGAGAATTCCATGAATAAAGTCGTACTCTATAAAAAGTAGCACTTCTTTTTTTTTTTTTTTTAAAGTTATATTAATCTAACTTTGTTAAATCAACTTATTTATTTAGAAATATCATATACATAATTGCTAATGTTTATGTTAAACTTTAAAAAAGAAGAAAAAAATTGAAATACAAATGATGCAATAATTTTTAATATTTCAAATAAAATTAATTAAAATATTAATGTAATCATTTGAAAAGAAAAAATATTTGAATTTAAAATAATGAATTTAAAAAAAAATACATTTATAGAAAATATGCTAAAATTTTAATAAAAAAAAAAAAAGAAAACATTTATAGAAAATATGCTAAAATTTTAATAAAATAAAAAAAAAAAGAAAAAAGAAAAAGACCTATCAAAACTTCCAAAAATGACACTTTGTCCAAATGTGTCACGAACAGCTACAGTAAACTCTTTCTCATGATCTATCTCATTACAGTAATCAAATTGCTGTAATAATTGGCCATTTTCGGTATACGATACTATTCGTTGATCACATCCACCAATTATAATAGCATTATTTGTATATACTAATGCATACGGTGGACAATTATGTGTTAAAATTTTTGTTTGCATTCGTCGATCCATTGAATATAAAATGATTGAACCATCAGTGTGACCAGAAATAAATGAACGATGATCAGGTCTTAAATGTAAACAATTTCAATTAATTATTTATTTTTTTTTTATTAGATTATATAATAATTTAAGAAATTGTTAAAATGAAAATGAAAATGAAAAATGAATATTTAAATTTATATAATAAATATGTAATAATTTAAGAAATTGTTAAAATGAATTAAGTATATGTAATAATTTGAGAAATTGTTAAAATAAATTAAGAAATTATTAAAATGAAAATGAAAAATGAATATTTAAATTTATATAATAAATATGTAATAAATTAAGAAATTGTTAAAATGAAAATGAATATTAAATTCATATAATAATTTAAATTTATATAATGTAATAATAAATTTATATAATAAATATATAATAATTTAGAAATTGTTAAAATGAAAATGAATATTAAATTTATATAATAAATATATAACAATTTAAGAAATTGTTAAAATGAAATGAAAAATGAATATTTAACTTTATATAATAAATATATAATAATTTAAGAAATTGTTAAAATGAAAATAAATATTAAATTTATATAAAATATATAATAATTTAAGAAATTGTTAAAATGAAAATGAATATTAAATTCATATAATAATTTAAATTTATATAATGTAATAATAAATTTATATAATAAATATATAATAATTTAGGAAATTGTTAAAATGAAAATGAATATTAAATTTATATAATAAATATATAACAATTTAAGAAATTGTTAAAATGAAATGAAAAATGAATATTTAACTTTATATAATAAATATATAATAATTTAAGAAATTGTTAAAATGAAAATAAATATTAAATTTATATAAAAAATATATAATAATTTAAGAAATTGTTAAAATGAAAATGAATATTAAATTTATATAACAATTTAAATTTATATAATATAATAATAAATCTATATAATAAATATATGATAATTTAAATTTATATAATATAATAATAAATTTATATAATAAATATATGATAATTTAAATTTATATAATATAATAATAAATTTATATAATAAATATATAATAATTTAAGAAATTGTTAAAATGAAAATGAATATTAAATTTATATAACAATTTAAATTTATATAATATAATAATAAATCTATATAATAAATATATGATAATTTAAATTTATATAATATAATAATAAATTCATATAATAAATATATAATAATTTAAATTCATATAATATAATAGTAAATTTATATAATAAATATATAATAATTTAAATTTATATAATATAATAACAAATTTATGTAATAGATATATAATAATTCAAGAAGTTGTTAAAATGAAAATGAATATTAAATTTATATAATAAATACATAATAAATTAAGAAATTGTGAAAATGAATAATAAATTTTTATAATAAATATATAACAATTTAAGAAATTGTTAAAATAAAATGAAAATGAATGTTAAATTTATATAATATAATAATAAATTTATGTAATAAGTGGTAAATTTTTTTTTTTAAAAAGAAAAATGTTCATAAGAAATTTAATTAGAAAAGAATGAAAAAATATGCTAACTAATTAATTTATTTTATTTGTTTATTGTTTTTTTTTATTTGTTATTATTATTTCTTTCTTTTGATAGGATAAAAGTAATAAATTAAATTGAATGTGATAAAATTTTGGAAGTATGGAAATTCATTAGCCATTTAAAAAGTATTTCATTTTTTATACTTTTCTAATTAAATTTATAATAAATTGCTTCTAATTTTTTTTTTTATCAGACTAATATTTCAATCAATCATTTTTTTATTTAAGCTAAAATTTCAGTCAATTTTTTCACCAACAAATTAAAATTATCAATCAATCACTGTTCAATCAAAATTAAAATTTCAATTCGGTAAAGAATTTGCAAAATTAAACTTGCAAAAGAAAAAAAAAAAAGTTTATTAAATTATTTTATGATCAACTAAAAAATTATGCTATTTCTAATCATTTCCTTATCTTATTTACAAACAAGCTCATATCATAATAAATAAAGCAATCAGTATAATTTTTCATATTTGAAAATTAAATTTGCATTTTTGTTAAAATTAAACAGTATTTTTTTTTCTTTCAAATTACAATAAAACAATATATTTTAAAACAGTATAAATAGTATTTTTCAAAATTACATTTTATTAATTTGTTTAAAAAAATACAATGATTAAATTATTTTGTTAAATTTTGATTTATGAGAGGGAAAAAAATTTGGAATTTTATGATTTATAAAATAGTTTAGAAATTAAAAAGAAAAAAATAAATATAAATAAAATTCTTACGGAAGTGCAAGAGAAATAACTGATACATCAGTTTTGTATAATGTTGAACATTTATTATTACGACATGATGCAATTCTTACTTTACCATCAATTAGGCCAATTATTAAACGATCCTCACTTGGCCACAATAAGGCTATCACTGCTGATGATTGAATAAATTTATTACATATAACTTTTTCTCATCCCTAAAATTAAGCTTAAATTATCATTGTGTTAACAATACTATCAATATTATCACTAAAATACATTATTAACATTTATTGACAGAAATTTTTGTTATCAATAATTTTATATTTAATAAAAATTTTCAATCAATCAACTAAAACAATTTGAAATGATAAATAAAAAATATTAAATCCTAAAAAGAGAAAAAATGATACAAAATTGATATCTAAATTATCACTTCATCTTAAATTATCACTGTGCTAACAATACTATCAATATTATCACTAAAATACATCATTAACACTTATTGATAGAAATTTTGCTATCAATAATTTATATTTAATAAAAATTTTAATCAATCAACTAAAACTAATTTGAAATGATAAATAAAAAATATTAAATCCTAAAAAAAAGAAAGATATTAAACTGATATGTAAATTATCACTTCATCTCAAATTATCACTGTGTTAACAATACTATCAATATTATCACTAAAATACATTATTAACATTTATTGACAGAAATTTTTGTTATCAATAATTTTATATTTAATAAAAATTTTCAATCAATCAACTAAAATTAATTTGAAATGATAAATAAAAAATATTAAATCCTTAGAAAAAAAAAGAGAAAAAATGATACTAAATTGATATTTAAATTATCACTTCATCTCAAATTATCACTGTGTTAACAATACTATCAATATTTATCACTAAAATACATTATTAACATTTATTGACAGAAATTTTTGTTATCAATAATTTTATATTTAATAAAAATTTTCAATCAATCAACTAAAATTAATTTGAAATGATAAATAAAAAATATTAAATCTAAAAAAAAAAGAAAGATACTAAACTGATATCTAAATTATCACTTCATCTCAAATTATCACTGTGTTAACAATACTATCAATATTATCACTAAAATACATTATTAACATTTATTAGCAGAAATTTTTGTTATCAATAATTTTATATTTAATAAAAATTTTCAATCAATCAACTAAAATTAATTTGAAATGATAAGTAAAAAATATTAAATCCTAAAAGAAAAGAGAAAAAATGATACTAAATTGATATCTAAATTATCACTGTGTTAACAATACTATCAATATTATCACTAAAATAAATTATTAACATTTATTGACAAAAATTTTTGTTATCAATAATTTTACATTTAATAAAAATTTTCAATCAATCAACTAAAATTAATTTGAAATGATAAATAAAAAATATTAAATCCTAAAAAAAAACAGAAAAAATGATACAAAATTGATATCTAAATTATCACTTCATCTCAAATTATCACTGTGTTAACAATACTATCAATATTATCACTAAAATAAATTATTAACATTTATTGACAAAAATTTTTGTTATCGATAATTTTATATTTAATAAAAATTTTCAATCAATCAACTAAAACTAATTTGAAATGATAAATAAAAAATATTAAATCCCAAAAAAAAGGAAAGACACTAAACTGATATGTAAATTATCACTTCATTTAATTGATCATATAAAATAAATTGATATAAAATAATTCATATCAAATTATTATCAATGAATTATTGAAATAATTTTTTTTTTTATAAAAGTAAACATGAATTATATACCACGTTTCACCAATTCGATAAACATAAACAATGTTATCAGTTTGACCAATAGCAATACGAGTTGAATCAGGTGAAAAAACTAATGCTTTCATTTGATAACTCTTCTTTCCATACTAGAAATAATAGTATTATCACTAAAGATGATATTATCACTGAAATTTATATGATATTATCACTGAAGTTTATTCCATTCAATCATTTTAGTTACTTATTTAAATTTTTAAATTTAACAATGCTTTCATTTGATACTAAAGATGATATTATCACTAAAGTTTATTCCATTCAATCATTTTAGTTAATTATTTAAATTTTTAAATTTAACAATGCTTTCATTTGATACTAAAGATGATATTATCACTAAAGTTTATTCCATTCAATCATTTTAGTTAATTATTTAAATTTTTAAATTTAACAATGCTTTCATTTGGTACTAAAGATGATATTATCACTAAAGTTTATTCCATTCAATCATTTTAGTTAATTATTTAAATTTTTAAATTTAACAATGCATTCATTTGATACTAAAGATGATATTATCACTGAAGTTTATTCCATTCAATCATTTTAGTTACTTATTTAAATTTTTAAATTTAACAATACTTTCATTTGACAACTCTTCTTTCCATACTAGAAATAATGGTATTATCACTAAAGATGATATTATCACTGAAATTTATTCCATTCAATCATTTTAGTTACTTATTTAAATTTTTAAATTTAACAATGCTTTCATTTGATAACACTTCTTTCCATACTAGAAATAATAATATTATCACTAAAGATGATATTATCACTGCAATTTATTCCATTCAATCATTTTAGTTACTTATTTAAATTTTTAAATTTAACAATTCTTTCATTTGATACTGAAGATGATATTATCACTGAAATTTATTCCATTCA